TCCCATAAAGGTGGGGTATCATAAGATTCAACATCACACAAATCACTAGCTAGGGATTACATTAAACAAAGAACTAGAATCATCCAATAATGCGCAAGAACTCCTAGCTAGTTGCAAGCCAAAACTATTTTTCTCATTGCAAGATAAAAAAGTATCAAACTCATCAATATCATAGCTATATTTCAAACACAAAGTGTCACCACAATCAACTAAAGTATCACGAGTAGAAGGATAAGCTATGTTACCTTGAAGCTCTTCTAAAGTGAAATTCTCTTTACCTTGAACTTGCTCATTAAATTTCAAAAGTTCTCTCGAAAAGGTAGCTTGATCTTCTTCCAAGTTCATCAAAGTAGATTGAACTTCACTTAATGGCTCACCTCCAAAAGTTCCTTCACAAGATATAAAACAACTAGAAAAGAAGAAAGGTTGTTAGCATTAGAATAAGGAAAAATTTCACTCTCTTTTTGTTTTCCTTCTTTCTTGTCTCTCATTTTCTTTTTAAGCTCTTCACTCTTTTCTTGTGACAACTCACTCACTTCACTCCATACTTTCTCTCCTTTATCCACTCTAGAGTTGTCACTTTTCTCTCCCTCACTACTCTCTATCTTTTGTCTCTCATCCTTACTTTTTCTCTTTGCATTTTTCAAGGACGTTCTCAAACTCATTTGGCCTCTTCCCCTTTGGTTCACTTTATTCCCCCTATATTTATCATGGAAAACTTGTTGGATGTTGTCCAACTCATTCAAGGTGGTCTCATGATCATATTGAAAAAGTGGGTTGTTAATCATTCGAGGCTCTTGAGGTGGTATGGGTGGTGGAGGAGGGAGATTGTCCCTCCTTGGTGGTGCTTGAGGCATACATTGGGGAGGTAAATTCATTGGTGGTCTAGGTTGGGTCATTTGGGGTGGTGGTATTATGGGTATGTGTGCTTGAGGTCTAAATGGTGGCTTGTGTTGGTTGTTGGTAGGTGGACGGTAGTTTGGTGGAGGAAAATAAGGTCCCTTTGGTGAAAGTGGTCGCTTTGGTAAGTTTTGTGGTATTTGGTTGGGTTGGTTGTGTTGCAAATTTCCCCTTTGAAGCATTTGTCGCACTTGTGAAGGAGATGGTGTAGTAGAGGAATTAGTAAGCGTCATACTACGCTCCTTTCCTTGTTGCCTCAAGTGAGATTCCTCTATCATGGAATTCAACCTTGCATCCGTTTGGTGTTGCCGTATGCTAATATTGGTAACCTTCTCACTTAAGTTGGTAACCTTCTCGCTTATGTCATAAAGCATAGAAACAACATCATGCATCGGAGTCTCACTCCGTGGATCACAATTAGGAGAAGAAGTTTGTCCGTACTCCATGATACCTACAAAATGAGCAAACAAGTTAGTAGTAAAAGTCCTCACCAACTCACTTGATGTCGCTCAACCCTCGTGTATCACACTTTGCACCAATTGGCTCTTGTGTGCTCAAAGTCCTATTCACTCTTGCTTTTTCCGCTCAAGTAGTGAATGTCAAAATTGCTAGCAAACTTAAGTTCCAAGGTTTCACAATAAGTTCCAACCGCTTCGGGGTGGAGTGGAAGTTGTGTATTCACAAGGACGGACAATTAAAAGCAAACGGACTTGAACCAAGCAATTCGCAACGAAATTAAAAGACAAACACGAAACATTGACACGAAACAAAATTAAGCACACAAAGAACTAGGTTAAACTTAATATGAACTAATATCAAGTTTACACTAGTTTAGAGAACAATAAAAAGTTGACAGAAGACCGAAACTAATTTAGAGTTAACAATCAGAGTTTCTTGGTAAATCTGTGCGACCACTGTAGCTCCTAGATTTCTGAAGTTTCCTGAGCATTCTGTGAACCTGAATTAAACTTGAAACCACTGTGAACTACAATTCTGTTAAACAACTAAAACAGCTGGGAAAAATTAATCTGCAGATGTGCAACTGATGTCCAAAATTGCAGGAACAATGCTGATTTCGAGGTTAACAACTTGTGCAATTCATGCTGTTAAACACCGCTCAAACTTAGGTTCACAAGCTCAAAAAATCTCACTTTTCAATTTCAGTTGCAGTTTCCACAAAGCAGAATAACCACAAAGTGCAAAAAATTTCAGCTGAAAACAGTCAACAAAACTGCAGAAATTGCTGAAACAGCGCAAATATCAGTGGTAGGAATAATACAGATTTTCTTTGCTCTAATGCTAGTCCAAGGCTTCACATTTCAGAAGCTCACAGATGTAGAAACAATGCTGAACTCTCAGTCCAAACTGTGCAGATTTTGCTGCTCAAACACTCCTCCAAATTGATGATATTAGGCTGTCAAACATATGCAGAAGTCTGATCAAACACTGCTGAAACAGGGCAGATTTACTGCTCAAAAGTGTTGGATTTCCAGCAGCCTAAACCATTTGTTTGATGCTGCAATTTCTGGACAACAAGAAGTAGCTAAAGAGCTGGTGTGATATGAGCATACAATGCAGAAAGATGTTGCTAAATGCTGTCCCAAACAGTGGTTCTTGAATGCAGTTTTACAACTCAATTTTGGCTCTCCAAAACTAATTCAATTCAACTGAAAACTTGACGACAAGCTCTCGATCAGAATGCAACAGCAACAAGAATGAAAAATGAATTTAAGTCTTCGAGTCAAGCCCTCGAGCTCCAAATGAACAGTTGCAATCAGTTAATTCAAGCAATAAACAACACGAGTCGACTTGAATGATTCAAGCTAATTACCTCAGAGAACAAATTCTCTCCAAAATTTCAGAAATGCCTGACTGAAAATCTCTCGCTGGATGTGAGGCTTGGATCACAGGTCATCCCCAAGAGAGGTAGTTTCAAGTACCTTGGGTCAGTTATTCAAGGGGATAGAGAGATTGACGAGGACGTCACTCATCGCATAGGAGTGGTGGACGAAATGGAGGCTAGCATCTGGAGTCTTATGTGACAAGAAAGTGCCACCGATACTCAAAGGTAAGTTTTATAGGGCGGTGGTTAGACTGGCCATGTTGTATGTGGCAGAGTGTTTCCAGTTAAGAACTCTCGTATCCAGAAGATGAAGGTAGCTGAGATGAGGATGTTGAGGTGGATGTGCGGGCACACTAGGGTAGATAAGATTAGGAATGAAGATATTTGGGAGAAGGTGGGTGTGGCCTCTGTGGATGACAAGATGCGGGAAGCGAGGCTCAGATGGTACGGGCACGTGCGGAGGAGAATCCTGGATGCTCCGGTGAGGAGGTGTGAGCTGTTGGCTTTAGTGGGTACGAGAAGAGGTAGAGGTCGGCCT